GTCACACTTTTCGAGAAAAAAAAAATTTCCCCCTGAAATCATAGGGGAAATATCTATGGAGTTTACATAAATTGACGTCCACGGAGTTTACATTTTGAAGCAAATACCTGGATTGTAGCCGAATGAGTTGGAACAGAAGACCGCGCATACACAGCTGACTAAAGGACCACCAAAGCATTGTTTTTATCCACATCTCGTAGGTTTAACGCACAGGGGATCCGCGGCAAATCGGGTACGGAGTTTACATACAAAAAAAATACGCGACCCCCTTTTTGAAATTTTGATACCAATCAGATGCTAGCCATTGGACTCACATCCCTCAAACTTGGTGACTAGATGTGTTTTTTCATCCAGAATCCATTGCAGCCTTCAGATTGAGGCTGCTACTTCCCGTTTGTCTCCTGTAGTACCAAACTCGTTACAGTGCACATGTGGATTTTAGGGAAGTAAAAACTTCGGGACAAAAGTTAATTCTGTGCAGGCACAAAGCTTCAAACTTTGAAGGAAAGTCAGCGGGGTTAAGTTAAAGTATGAAAGTGCCTTAGCAAATAGAGCCGTCAGGAATGATTGTCCTGCGTCTCGTTTAGACATACGAGAGGCGCAAACTTAGTGAACTGCGCATCGGGACAGCCACGGAGTTTACATTTTGCACCTTCCGGAGGCCACAGCCATCTGAAAACGTCAGAAACTTTCAAACCCAATAGTGGATCATTTTGAAGCACAAAAAGCACCATCTCATCGCGCAAACCGCGTCTTTCTAGGACGAACCGTTTCGTCACAAAGGGGCAGGGACATCAAATTGTAACATTTCTGTAGAATGACCCAACTCTTTCACTCCTTGAATCAAATTTCCCTTTTAATTTGTCCTTGGGTGTTAAAGTGAATCCAACACAACCGAACACCTTCAGATTAGATATATCTGGCTTTACTCCATACCACCTCACCGCAGGTACCACTTGTTCTTGGATTCCTTTGGTCGGAGACCTATTGATGAGATACACTGCAGTAGCAACTGCCTCAATCCAGAATGTTTTACGCGGGGAACTTCCCAGTAGCATACACCGTGCCTTTGACAAAATTGTCAGATTCATCCTTTCTGCAACACCATTATTCTCCGGAGTTCCTGGGATAGTGCACTCAAATTCAGTTCCTTTTTCCAAGAAATAGTTTCTAACATTATGATTAAAGAACTCAGTTCCATTGTCACATCGGAACATGAGAACATTTGTTTGAAATCTATTGGTTACTCTAGCCATGTAAATCTTAATAAATTCAAATACTTCAGATTTAGCTTTAAGTCCAAACATTACCGTGAAGTGACTCCAATCATCTACAAATGTCAAGATATACTTAGTGCCATCATAGGCTGTAGGAGTTATTGGTCCACACAGATCACTGTGCACTCTTTCTAATGGTCTAGTTGTTGCGGGTCTTGTGCCTTGGAAAGGACGTTTAACCTGTTTACCCATTAGGCAAACTTCACAACAAATTGAGTGCCCTATTCCAGTAACTTCACCCATACCATTTACCTGTTTACCAATTTGCAACAAACCTTGCTGCCCTATATGACCAAGTCGCTTGTGCCAAATACGACTAGGATTATTGGATTCATCTCCTATGGTCACAAGTGCTGCTTTGTCCGGGATTGGCACCTCAAAGTCCAGTCGATACAATATTCCATCGACATTTCCCTCCGCAGCTACACACTGGCTGTTGCTTTCCACAATGTAGCATCGTCCTTTGCTGAAGACGACATCAAATCCTTCCTTGTCCAACCTTCGAACAGAAATCAGGTTATGAGGCAAATCATTTTCAATAATAAGTACATTCCTTAAAGTAACAGTGTGCACTCCTCCACTAACTCTAGCCAGTACAATCACATCTCCCATTTCATATGCTGAGATAAACAGTCGACGTTTAGCAATTAAAATTCTATGAGGTTTTTCAAGTTTTCGTCTATTGACGACAGGAACCCAACCTTGAACCATATGGTCTGAAGCCCCAGAATCTAAATACCACACATTACTTACAGTGTCCATCCTACCCTCTACTTCATCCAGAAAGCAGAATGCAGGCCTTGCGCCAAAGATGACGCATTTTCAGCTTTTCGTTCACTTACTACAATAGGTGTACAGTGTTCGCTCTGGTGGCCGCCATATTCAGAATAAAGGTGTCATATTATATGTTTTTGGAAAGCTGACATCCTCACCAATGTTATTCAGCAGTCAGGTTTACTCTTGGGTCACCCGGATAAAAATACATTGCCGTTAAAAGTGCTACAAAATTGGCGTCTGAACGATTTTTACAGTGCGATAAGTTGAGTTGCGAACATTTGCGCACGGTTCTGTGACTTGTCGGTGATAGGGCAGCCAGTCCACTTTGGACTCCATGCCACCGAATGTTTCGGAATGTTTCGCGTTTTGAGAAAATCGCCTCCAAAAGAGCGTTCTAGACGAAACCCGAAAAAAGTGGCGATGCTCCGATCGTCTCCAAAATCGCTACCCGGGGGTTTTGGGGGATGAGAAACTCGTTGCCGTCAACGTCGACAGCCGGAAATGAACGCCAGGGGCCGATCCAGCATTCAAGGAGGGGGTTTACTGTTCGGAGCCCACGGAACGATGCCAAAATCACTACAAGGGGGTTTTCGGAGCTGAGAAATTCGTTCCTGTAAACGTCGAAAGCCGGAAAAGAACGTCAGGTGTGGATCCAGTTTTACCCTTTCCTTGATTGCTGGATCCGCCCCTGGCGTTCGTTTCCGGCTTTCGAGGTTGACGGGACCGAGTTCCTCATGCCCGAAAACCCCCGTGAAGCGATTTTGGCATCGTTCCGTGCACTCCAAAGGGTTCACCCCCTCCTGGAATGCTGGATCCGCCCCTGGCGTCCGTTTTCGGCTTTAAATTTTGACGGATTCAAGTTTCTCGTACCCCAAAAACCCCGGGTAGTGTTTTTGGAGACGATCGGAGCATCCCAGAATTATCGCCACTTTTTTCGAGTTTCGTCCCACTGTGCGCCGCCTCCACTCTGCTGCTGAGAGCCAAAGGATCCGCCGCCTCCGCTGTAGCCGCCGCCATGATGGTTGGAGTTGTTCCCGCCGTTTTGAGTACTGCCGCCATTGCTGTTGGCTGCACCATAACCTCCTCGTCCACCGCCTCGGTAGCCACCACGGCCCCGTCCTGCTTGACCACCACGATAAGCACCACCTCCTGGCCTCGTACACTCAAACCGTCGATGACCAGTGCGCCCACAATTATTACAATCAAACGGAAAATCTCCCCTCTTTCGCTTCCCAAGGAACACAGTACCAGTTGTACCACGAGAATTTCCAGAGTTGAATTTTGAGCCGGGCTTATTCCTCCTTGACTGCTCATACTCTTCTATGCGGACACGCGCAAAGTTCATGGTTAAGTCTTTACTGCCAATAGTTTGCAGTGCAGAAACAACGGACTCGTACCCCTTAGGCATCATCATGAGAAAGTGGATGACTGCCCCTTGATCGTCCATCTGATCTCCGGCCTGTCTGAGCTCTCTTACAATCCGGTCAAAGTTCAAGCAGTAATCTTGAAATTCCTGGTTCTTCGGTCGGTATCGAAGCCGATGGAGCTCACCCGCTAAAGTCATCCGAGTTGTGGTGGAGGGAGTCTGGTACCTATCCTCCAGCGCCCTCCAGACTTCGTACGCCGTCTTCTTGTCCTTCACAATTTCCAGAAATCCGTCAGCAACTCTTTCGATGATAATGTCGCGGCACTCCGCGTTCTGTTGCAGCACCTTCACTCTGGCCCGCTCTTTCTCTTCCTTTTGAGCTTGAGTATCCCTAGCTCTTTCCTCGTACGGGGCGATAAGTTCTTCCAGTGGCTTTTTCACATGTTCTTCTAGTAACTTGCTCTTGATTTTTGAATTCACTCTGAAACTCCAGTCGCTGAAATTTTTGCCATCGAACAATCTTGCACGGAAAGCTTGGTCCTCCATAATGCACGCTTCCACGCGCGTTCAAGTCTCTTCTCTTTGCTTCACTGACTTTTCAAGTCTAAACTTTTAGGTTTTTTTTTTTTTTCGCGCAACTGGGCCCATAACCTATTGTGATAATTGGTTATGGGGTTTGATCCAGTGAAACACACGCACTCAGTTAGATTGCAACAGATATATATTCTCACACTTGGACACACAGGACAACCTTCTACAGTACACAGCACAGAGACAGTGAGTAGTCCGACAGCACCAAGGAAACGGAAACAAGACAGGAGATTGGCACTGCCCTCTCATACTACACATAACAGCTCCTAGTTCAGTATGGAAAATTGCATCTTACAATACCCAAAAGAAGTTTCAAAACATTAACTGCGTTAGTTTGATCCGAGGAAGCTTCAAGTTTCTGTCACCCAAAATAGAAAAGGAAAATTCGTGAATGTTCATCAAAATTACAATCAGACAAACTTCTCCACTAACTCGACTCTCTCAAAAATTAATGCCTGCTTCATCTAACCAGAATAGAGTGAAGAGTTTCAAGTGTCACTACTTAGTGCATGAAGCCCACCTAGGACTGACTACACTCTAAAATAAGATTTTGTTGACATATCATTCTGTCAACCAAGTTAATCAGGTAGGGAATAGAAAATAACTGAGTACAATACAAGAGTCATTGAAAATCAATTAATAGGTTTTATTTTTTAAAAACCCTTCAAAAGAGAACAAAAAAAAACATAAGTTGTCAAGAGCAATGATTAGAAAACAAACTGAGTACAATACAAGAGTCATTGAAAATCAATAAATAGGTTTTAAAAACCCTTCAAAAGAGAACAAAAAAAACATAAGTTTTCAAGAGCAATGATTAGAAAACAAACTGAGTACAATACAAGAGTCATTGAAAATCAATAAATAGGTTTTAAAAACCCTTCAAAAGAGAACAAAAAAAAACATAAGTTTTCAAGACCAATGATTAGAAAACAAAAATATAAAACACTAGGTTTTAAGAAGTCAATCAATTAATTGATACAAAAAATTCTTTATCCGTACTTATGGTGCCTGATTCTCTTATATTCCTCTAATTCTTCTTCAAATGTCTGAAAACGAGAAAGACAGAACAAATTAGATTTAGAAAAGCGAGCACACAGAGGTCTCCAGGAAAGGTCAATTATAGGACAGAAACTTACGAGTGGAATGCTTCTCCGCTGAGCCCTTCTCTCTCCATCTTGTCGTCCATGGTCAATAGCATGCCCACCAGCTCCGGCAGGGGCACCAGGAAGAGGATTCACAGTGGGAGCTCTCGCTGCGGCAGCAACAGCATGACCACTAGCTCTGGCTGGGACACCATGACCACCCAGCTCTGGCAGGGGCTCTGGCTGGGGCACGGGCAGCAGCCACTGCAGGAGATCTGGCTGTGGCAGCATGCCCACCAGCTCCGGCAGGGGCAGCAGGAAGAGAATTCGCAGCATGCCCACCAGCTCTGGCAGGGGCAGCAACTGGAGCCCTCCCAGGGGCACGGGCAGCAGCCACTGCAGGAGATCTGGCTGGGGCAGCATGCCCACCATCTCTGGCAGGGGCTCTGGCTGGGGCACGGGCAGCAGCCACTGCAGGAGATCTGGCTGTGGCAGCATGCCCGGGTGATTCCGTGCGTAGAAGGGTCATTTTGGATGTACCAAATGTTCTTTTTTAAAGTTCAACTTTAGGGGCTAAATTTGGTGTAGATGGCATACATAGTACCCCACAGTACCCCTCTGAGCGTGGCAGCGCTACAAGTTGACTTTTATTTTCACTCCCTATGAAATACGGCGGAATTTACAGAAATAATGACGGAATTTAAGATTAGGGAAATTTTACAAAGCGAATTTTTTAGTCTCCTGAACCGCTGGGTTACAAGATAGGAAAAAACTGTTGACGGTGTCATTTTCAGCATCCAAAATAGCATTTTTCAGCAAAGGGTTGTGGGAACTTTCCCCCTCAGATGGAGGACTACGGCCCAAAAGGGAAATTTACATCCATTTTTACCCCCTTACCGTTTTGAACTCTTCTGACGGCCTGGAAGCGTCGTTTGACCGCCCCAGGTCCCGTGGGCACGGGTTTTGGAAGTGTTTTTATGTTCTTTCGATCCCAAGGGGTCGCGAGTTTCTAAAATAAAAAGGAAACCCCCAGTAGACCGTCATTTGTAAAAACAGCATAGGTCACATGGTCACAGGTGGACATTTTCCCAAAGGCTGTTTCGGGTTCAACACGTGATGATACAAAAAAGGTCACCCTCCGTAATTTTGTGAAGAATAATCAGGGGAGAGAGTGAAATAGCCAGTTTTCTTTTGATGGTGAGTCATTACTACAGCATGGCAATGTTGTCTCATAGGGTTGGTGACCATGACGGAACTTACAAAAAGACACTTTAGCAGCTTACGAAACCCAGATAAACAAAAGTTAGATCGACTTATCCACATGAGGACTGGTCTTCGTTTAGTAAAACAAATTTGAATTGCCCAAACCCGGTTGTTTTATTTAGTGCGATTTGTCAAACGCCAAAAACCCCCCACGGGGTAAAATCGTTTTTCCCCTTTTTTTTTTTCCCCGCCTCGTTTCCCCGGCCCCCAAAAGGAAAGGGGCAATTATTTTTGGGGAAAACGACGTGTCGTTTGAGAAAACCCCCATTTGCCCTCCTCTTTGGTGCCCTTCGGCAGGACTATTTCGCAAAAAGTTCGTTTGGGGGTACAGGCTTCCGACCCTGCAGATGGGGTTCCTGCGCCAGACCGGTCTGGCCCGCAACCCCCCACCCCGGGGCCGGGGGGGGGGGGGGCAACACATAGGAGGCCGGCCCGGGGTCCAGCCCCTTCCCGTTCGTACCGCACTCGTTTGGTTTTTTTGACTGTAGCACCCCCCGCCCCCCTTTTTCGGAGCCGGGGCCCCCGGATTATTTTCATGGTGGGTTCCTGTTGCTTGCGGGTGCGTCCTTCCCGGGGCACGGCCAAAAGTTAGCACGTTTGGTCCCACGTAAAGGGCCAACGGTCCGGGGCCAGGGCTCCCCGGCCCCCCCCCCCCTCTCCAGAGCACGGCATCGACGCTCAGACGCTGCCACATTTGATCGATTGCGACGCGGGTTCACGATGTGAAGCACTGAACCACGGTGGACAGGGCGAAATGCTGCCGGCGCGGCGGCGCGGGTGGTACTGGCCGAACGGTGCTGTCGTTGCTCCTTCTCTCTCGCCCACACGGGGCGACCCGCAGTGCGGTGTGACAGAGACAGAGTGACGACGCTGGACGCACGAAGGACACCGCTGCAGCAGAGGCCTGCGTGGTCGAGCCTCGGCCTCGCGTGCAGATCGGGCTTGCCGACGTGCTTCGTGTTGTGCAGGGCGTGCAGGACGCAAGTCTAAGGTAGCAGGCACAGGCCGCGAGAGAGAGAGGGAGGGAGAGAGGGACAGAGAGAGAGAGAGAGAGAGAGAGAGAGAGAGAGTGTGTGCTCGGGTGCCCCGGCGTGGCCGTGGCTTCCCGCCACCCTGCGCACTCTGCGCCGTCCCGCAGGGGTAGGAAAGACGAAGCACTGCTCGGAATCAGGCTTCTGGGATGGGTCCAGCGGGCACCGCGGAGCACGCCGTCAGCGGGCATGCAGGCCGTTGGGGCGGTTGGAAGCAGGCCGTTCCCTTAGCCGCGCGGGCCGATACGAACCACGGACCACCGACCTCGACTCGCTTCGTCAATGGCGCCTTCGCTCGCCGTCCCTCACCCCGCCCCGCCCCACCTTCCGCCAAGCGCCGCCGCGGTCGTCGGCGCGGCCCTGGCGGCGGGGTGCGCAGCCTAGACACAGTTAGTTTAGGCACCCGCAGACGTAACCGGCGTGCTGAGGGCACCCTGACGGCACCCTGATGACGCAGTTAGACCGGCTCAAATTTCCCGAAGGTTCGACATGTCGATGCGCGGAAACGGAATTCGGTTCCTTTCCGGATTCTAAGACTCTGGGAATTTTTCGGGATTTTTGAGGTCACCGGAAGTGGTCCCGCACGTCCTGCCTATTGATAGACCAGTAGTAAAGCGGCCTTCATATTTATTTTAACGGGCATATTCCATGAAACAAAAGTTGTCGGTCAAATTAATAAAAATAAGTGATGTCTGATTTCGAAAACTCAAAATTTGCAATCGGGGTGCCTACCTGTAAGGGGCAACTGGCGTCTATTTTCGCACTGAGCCCCAAAATGAAGTGTATCAGGACGGAAAACTTTTTGAAAATCGATTTGGCCCTTCTAGTGGTGCTATTTTGAGTGCCTAATCTCCGCCCGGTCTAACGGATTAATTGGAGGCCTTTAATGAGTATTGTCTTGTTTACGTTTGGGCGCCCGTTTCGTGGCTAAACTCGTTTTCTTTGACTTTTTCGGTAATTTCCGAAGATTCAGTCGAGAAGGTTAAACGCACGAGAACGTAAAAGAGAACACCAGATGGACAGGCCTTTAGCCTGTCTAATCTGAAATGTTATTCTGAACAAGAACCCTTTCATTGTGATTTACTTCAACCTCCAACCAATCTTTACTGAAATGTTGTGCGTGCGATGAAAGTTAGCGATTTGATTACTTTGCTTCACCAACGCACATTCACAAGAGATTCATCCTACTCGGAACCTTTTGTGACCAATAAATTGATCGTCACGAGCGTGCACTCATTTGAGTATACTCCCAGGGCACAACTGAGTACATTCTACTGTAAGTGTGTTAAATTGAGTACTACACGCCCGTGGGAGTGCGCTTGTGGGTGCACGCCGAACAGTGCGTATTAAGTAGACCTTTGACTTAGCTAAGCAGATTCGGAATAGGACGAGCTTTTCGTCATGCGTACACTTCTCGTCAAAAACGTCGTAAAAACTCGCTTGCCGCGTTACTCTACGTATATGCCAGTTCAAATTTAAGTGAGGCAGACTGTTTCTGGGCTCGCTCCTCACTCCCAGGTTTAGAAGTGCTCTTATATGAATGGCACCAATAGATTTATACTAGCTTTAACATGAAACGACACTAACGTTATTTTCCCAACCAACTCTTAAAAACTAACAGTCTTGCCTTCGGTCTCATGTAGACTTTCCTCGCAGTGCACCGGATCACCGCACTCCAGCCCTTCGCCGCGTGGCTTTGGCGCGGTTCTAGTTTCCGCGCTATTGCTGTGTCAGGGATTGGATCTTCGCAAATCACCGAGTAAAACGAGAAGCAACCAGACAATACTCATAAAAGGCTTCCAATTAATCCGTTAGACCGGGCGGGGATTAGGCACTCAAAATAGCACCGCCAGAAGGGCCAAATCGATTTTTAAAAAGTTTTCCGTCCTGATACACTTCATTTTGGGGCTCAGTGCGAAAATAGACGCCAGTTGCCCCTTACAGGTAGGCACCCAGATTGCAAATTTTGAGTTTCCGAAATCAGACATCACTTATTTTCATTAATTTGACCATTTCTGACAACTTTTGTTTCATGGAATATGCCCGTAAAACGAATAAGAAGGCCGCTTTACTGCTGGTCTATCAATAAGCAGTGCGCCTAACTTACCCTGCCGTGCGGGACCACTTCCGCTGACCTCAAAAATCTCGAAAAATTCCCAGAGTCTTAGAATCCGGAAAGGAATCGAATTCCGTTTCCGCGCATCGACATTTCGAACCTTCGGGAAATTTGAGCCGGTCTATAGATTCCCCGCGCCGCGCCACGCAACCCTACTTCACCGCCGATTGTTGCTCTCTGAGTCCGCGCAGCTATGGGAGCTGGACACGGCACTGCCGGCACGGCTTGGCTCCGTTTGTCGCAGTGAGGCCCTGGCTGCCCGCATGCTGCCCGCGGCCCATCGGTTTGTCGCGGCGCTCGCGTTTGGGCTACCCGATGTGTCGCTCGCTGGCATGTGTCCTTGTCTAAAGAGTCAGTGAGCGAGTTTTGGACGATGTGGCCCAGGGGTCTCAGAGTGGCAACCCGGTCCGGGGGCCGGCCCCGTCGCCGCTCGTCTCCTTGCTGTCCAGCGTGTCCACCGACAGGCAGTATGTCCATCTCTCTCGCAGTCATGTGGGGGACAAGGAAAGACTGTTCTGTATCGGCGAGTACGCGTGCTGGGCGGCCGGCTCAAACTTCACACCTCTCTAGCCGACGCGACGCGCTCCGATCTTCCATCCCTCTCTTTCGTAGTCCGGCCCGGCTCGGGTTTGCTGCCAGTCTTTGATTGTGGTCGCTTCGTTTCGATGGAGCCGAGCGAAGCCTGCGCCCCGATTTGAGCCCCCCACCCCCACCCCGCTCGATCTCCCATGTTTTCTCTCGCCGTTGTGCGAGAGAGAGGCCCGGTACCGATGTGTTGAATGTGGGCGAAGGCATCTGTCCAAAGGAAAGGGGTGCCATCGAGACGAGTGTCACTGCTTCGGCCAGCCAGGCCCGCCAGCCAGGCCCGGGGCCGGACAGCGACGCGGGCGTCGGCGTGCCGAGGCGGCGTCTGCTCGCCACCAAGGTGTGTGCGTTCGAAAGTCGGTTGGAACAGGGTCCGAGCCTCTCTACCAAGTTTGAAATTTTTTGGGCCAGCCGTTTTTGAGAAATCGCGATTTTTACTTTGGTCTGCATCGGCTTCCTGCGCCGAGGCACGGCCGGCGCACAGTGATGCAAAACCGAAAAAAGTCGCGCAAAATTATAGAGTGCCCTGATCACTGACAATTTTCAGGCTGTGGGGTTTTGAGGGTCGCTGACCTCATTCCTGAAGAAATTCAACGTATGCGACCACCACAGGGGCGGATCTAGGACTGTTTAGGGGGGTAACACTGTAACGCTGCGCTTGATCACTGCCAAATTTTGTGCAAAGATGTTTTAAGGGTCGCTGACATTATTTCTGAAAGGATGGAACGTGTGTGACCACCACAGGGGCGGAGCTATAGTAGTTTAGGGGTAACATTGTTACGCTGTGCTTTATCACTACCAAATTTTGTGAAAAGAAGTTTTTAGGGTTGCTGACTTCTTTTCTGAAGAGATTGAACGTGTACAACCGCCACAGGGTAGGAACTTAAGCTGGAACTTAAGGGGAAACGATTATGGTTAAGTTTGGGAAATGGAAGTTGACCAGTCATTTGTGACAATGCCGCGACGTTTGAGTCATTTTTTTCGAAAAGCGCAACTTTTCGCAACCTGACACTATATAGACCTTAAAGTTGGCCCCAGGTACTACCATGTGGCTGTGACTGACTGGTTCGCAAGTGTTCGCAACTTGACTTATTCCACTTCGAAATCAACAAAAATGACAAATTTGGCTATTATTTTACAGCGAATATGTAGTGACCGAGAGCTTTGCCGTTAATTGTAGCAATTGTAGCGAATGTCTTGAACTCTCAGCTTTCCAAAAACACACAACATGTTACACTTTGTTCTGCAGATGCCGCCACAACGAACAGTTTTCGCACCGCATGTCGCTCTATTTGGTTTTTGCATCAAATTGCTCTCTTTCAGCGCCATAAAAAGATAGGCCTACCCATATTGTGGCACAAAAGAGTTCCGTCACCATGTAGTTCGATCTTTTCTGCGCTCAAAAACGTCAGTCCCTTAAGGGATGGACCAAATCAACGAAAAGTGCTTTTTGCGCGACTTTTTACCGTTTTGCATCACTGTGCGGCGGCCGACCTGGAGTTTCCTGTTTCGCGACATTCCCGTCGCGTTTTGGCGAGGAAGGCGATGCGCTAACGTGACCGCCATTTATCAAATCGGTTCCTGGTCCGGTCTAGTCGACGCACGTGAAATTAGAAGCTGCTGCCGGTAGCGCGACTGAAAATTCGACTTTGCTTCACCTACCCTTCGGCGCGGTAGTCGCGGTCGATCTGCCGAGTTGATAAACCCGTACCATAGACCCTTGTGAACGTATCTGCATGGTTTCCGTGGGTTTACATCGCGCCAGGCGTGCGCGGGGCGTGCTTTTGTGTGGCGGTGTGCGCGAATCCGCTGCGGACCCTAAAAACGTCAGGCTTGTTGCGCCTCGACTATTCCCGTTGCCGGATCGGGTTCAAACTTGGCACAGGTTCGTTTCAGACCAAGGCCTTTCAGAAACCACTGACGGACCCATAATTCGGCATTACGAAACACCCCATTGCTCGTGCATCGAAGATGAAATTATAATGGGAGCGGGAAATAAACGTTGCCGAAAACTGTCATTTCGCCGTCGCATCGTCCATGCCTGCATTCCTTTCTTGGTTGTCTTGTTTGTAAGGGGGGGGGGGCGTTCGATTGCGAGGACTTCCAGGACGCCTAGACTGGCCGCTGTTCTAAACGTTTGATTTGGTCGGGGCGCGCCAGCCGCGTTCCGCTGCGCGTTCTGCGCGTCGTCCGTGGGCACGGGCCCTGGCGGCCCTCTGTTAAGAATTCTAGGACACCTGGACTCGCCACTGTGCTAAACCAGCGGGTGGAAACTCTTTTGCCGAAATAGGCATGCAGAGCCACTGGTGTAAAATTCATCAGGATTTCAATCAGGAAATTCCTGATTGGTCAATCAGAACATTTTCTGATTGGAAAATCCTGATGTATTTTCGCGCACCTCTGATTGATGATTTCTGATTGGTACCAGTTCTGATTGTGTTTTTTTCTGAGTGGACAGCTCTGATTGGTAAGACAACTTCAAACATCGGTAATATGACCGTGTCGGGGCACATTCAAAATTGATGATAACTGCTCTGGGGGGTCAAAACTGAGTCCGATCCAAATCTGAAGTCCGATTTTCGATAGCTCGTGATCAGGCCTCGATATGCTACTAAAGGTGATCCGATATCTATGAAATTAAAATGGCCCTAGTCAAATCGGCTGAACATGTCACATACCAAATTTGAACCCGATACCGCAAATACTTTCCATTTTATAGGCATCTGTACTTTGACACCATCAAAATTTCCTGATGTTCTTTTCTGATTTCTGAGTGGCAATCGGCAATCAGAAAAGCAGTCAGAAATTGTCTGATTGCCAATCAGAAATCAAATATCAGGAAATTTCTGATTGGCACTCAGACGTCAGAAATCAGGAAATTTCTGATGTCGGTGCTCAACCAGGATTTTTTCTGATTGACAATCAGAAATCAGAAAGAATTCCTGATTGACAATCAGAAATCAGAAAATCAATCAGGAAAATCCTGATTTCTGATTGGAAATCAGAAATTCAATCAGAAAATCCTGATGGCATTTACACCAGTGAGGTGTTTTGTTCACGCTAGATCTCAGGATCCAAGAGAGATGGGTAAAATCCCCGGGCATATTTGGAATCCTCATAAAATTTCACGTGGCGTAGGGTATGTTTTATGACGAGGGTTGAGGAAAAAATCGATTACATTGCCAAAGGAAAATAAAAATTGGGCAAAATAACGTTTTGTGACAAGGATCGAAACGTTGCATTGTTCTGCTGTGTGCCTTAATGCAAGAGAACGGAACCTCGTAGGGTAATTCACTGGCCATTTTCAGAATCCTAAAGAAATTTTCTGTGCAAAAAGCTGTCGTGAAGTCTGCATTACTGTATTATCACAGTCAACCGTCGCTGTGTAACTTAAACAAGGTATGCATCAACTGCATTGCGTAGAATTGACAAAACAGCCTGCGATTGACCGCATGTTTCAAAGGTACTGACCTTCCATTTTTGACACCCGAGAAGTGATTTGCACAGAGAAAAGTGCGCTGAATCCAGATCTGTGCTCAAATTTTGAATTGGTCTCTCCGTTTTCTCACATTAAGGAACACAAAATAGCTATTTCCGGGAAAAGCGAAACTTTCGATCCTTGTTTCATAGCGTTATTTTGACGTATTTTTTACTTTCCTGTGGCAAAATAACCGATCATTTACTCAGCCTCCGACACTAAACATACCCTACGCCACGTGAAATTTTATGAGGATTCCGAATATGCCCGCGGATTTCACCTATCTCTCTTGGATCCTGAGATCTAGCGTGAACAAAACACCTCTGCATGCCTATTTCGGCAAAAGAGTTTCCAGCCGCTGGCTAAACGTTTCCCTTTCTTCTTGCAGGGCGCTCCGCTCATATGGCCTTTATTCGGCGGCAACAAATGGCTTTCGACGGGTTTCCAGGGATCACGGTTGTGGAAATGGGTGTGTCTCATAGAGGTAAGCAGTCGTGTCTTGTTTGCTCGACCCTGTCAGGCGACTGTTCCTTGCTATCATGCCGATTTTTTTGTTGCAGCAATGTACGAGTTGATCGCGACATGTGAGATTGACGTCGCTGGTGTAGAAGGGGAATGGAGGCCTACAGCCAACTTGCCAGGCTATGCCCCCACTCCAAGAAAAATCAAATGCGAGTTTTGTGCCGCTCCTCTAAACGATTTTCGGCACAAGGCGATACATATCCGGAGAGCATGCCCCGAATTCGAGCATAATAAGTAAGTCCGCCCCTCTGCCCCCCTTTTTAATTTGCTTTGCTTTGCTCTAACAATGTTTTCTGTTTCAGTGTCCTGCACGTGTCCAACTACAACGCATTTGCCAGGTACCTGCGTGCGTTCTGTGGGACAAATCTGTGCGATCTGCCTGTCCCGGGCGAGGTGCCCGCGGACCTTGACCTCCCAGCAGCCCTACAGTCCACCCTGGACAACCAGGTCAAGTGGGGTCGGCTGGTCACGGCGGCGGCTGGCCCCCTTGGCCAGGAGGATTTAGAGCTGTGAGTCCGAGTGAGCTCAGCCCCGGGCTTGCCCGGCTTGTCCCTAGTTTCCAAGTGACTCGTCTCAACCGTCCTTTCTGCTTGCAGGGCCGCGGTGGAGGCCAGAGTAGAGAGATACAGCCAGACAATCATCCAGGGCCTGCGCAATGCCGTAATTAATGCGCGGGACGCCAACAAGGAGTGAGTATCCGGTGAAGTCAAGTGGTCGGCCACTAGGCGGCCCAAGAGCGTCTTTTAACTTTCCTTTCCTTCTTCCAGCGAGCTATATTTGATCTCATGCCATACCCTTGCGGCCGGGTCCCAACCGGGGTCCCGAGCGAGGCTACACTCTAAAAAAAGTTACAGAATTTTGTATCATTTTTGATGCAGGATTTTGTATCACCTGCATTGGTTACAAATATTTGTATAAGTGATATAGAATTTTGTATCAGATGTGCCGGTTACAGAAAAATGAATCATTTTGGAGCTTGATACAGAAATTTGTTACATGAAGGTTACAATATCATGTTTGTAACATAACTGATACAGAAAATTGTAACTGGATACTAAATTCTGTATCAGAGATTAAAACATAATGTTTTAACGGCGAAATTGAACAGCAGTGCCCATAGAGACAAGTTAAACTTAGAGTTTTCATGTGCTTTTATTTTTCCCGACTCTGAATAAGAGATGCAGTCTCGTGTATGCTTGGCTGGCAAGGCCTCCGTCCCTTACCACGCGCGCCTCAGGTCACCGGCTACCTGCGCCGCTCCCTCCACGGCGTCCGCACAGCGCAATTGGTAGCGTGGCGGGCCGCCAACCCAGAGTTTGGGGTTCGATTCCCGACTTCTCAGAGTACATCTGGGAAAGTTGTGACTCGAAGGATGGCATAAGGACCTTCAATCAGACCCACGGAGACTACATTCGAACAAAATTCTCATTTTGAAGCTTGATTTGGAAGAATAACGACTGTTTACAAATTTTGTAACCGTTACGAAATTCTGTAACCAAGTTACAAAGAAAAAATTTGTATCCATCATGATACAAATTTCTGTAACACATGTTATTGAAAAAGCTGCGTAACCATGTTACAAAATTCTGTACTGATTTTTTTTAGAGTGTAGCCTAGCCGCTATGAAGAATTTAGCCCCCCCAGCCGTCTTTTGTCTCAGCCGTTGCGCGGGCGCGCTTTTAGCCGCTATTCCCCGCGATCCAGGCGCCCTCAGCAACTTTTCGCCTCTAGCCACATCTTCCTATTCTTCTCATTATTAGCCAATATTATTAATAATGTCCTGTCCAGCAGCCTCCGTCCATTAGGTAAGCCCAGCTCCCCCCTTGAAAATTTACCGAGTAGCCCTCCTTTTCTCTTGTCTTTAAGCCAAATTTTTAGCCATTCCATCGTTCTAGCCTAGCCCCCCTATAGCCCCTTAACGTCCATTCGAAAGAAACTTAAATCTTAACGTCCATTCGAAAGAAACTTAAATCGAATCTGGCCACTGTTTTGAAAAATATTTGAATCCACTATTTTTAACTTTGCCCTCACGAAATTGCTTTTTGCAGGAGCAGAAATGTCGCAGGTCAAGCCTACTGCTGGGCTAGGATTCGGCGTCCTGGAAAACAATGGGCACACCGTAAGTGTTCAGAATTATTGGTTTTCTTAGTACTCTTTGATTGTTCAATTTATTTGGCCTGCAAAACCATTTGATTGTTACTTTATTTTTCTTGTTATCGAGAGCAGGTTTCGAACAGTTTTGCTCGTAATGGGGCAACCATCTTAAGGATAGTCCCACCTAATGCTTCTATGCTATCCAATAAATTATGCCCCATTCCAATTGTTAAGAAAAATGTGACTCCAATGTGTGTGAATAAGGTTTGTGTTTTTGTGTTGCTGTCGTTATCCTTTGACCAAATTTAGATTTTAATAATTGCTATTTTTGTTGTGCCAGGTTTCGAAATTGAATATTATTGATCCTACTGGCTTAAAGATTGTGCCCTACAGTGCATCCTCTTATATAGAGCAGAGGACTATGCAAGCAGTGCCGAAAGCAGTCCCTTGTACATCAAAGGTGCGATTCTTTGAAGCGTCTCAATGGTCATGATTTTTTTGATTCCTGATGTACAAATGTGGATGTTTTTTTTAGGTTCATTCATCTGAGAGAAAGCCCACCACAGTGCCACCCAAACTGTTGATAGGATCTAATGTTGTGTCAGCAAACCATTTCGTAATGCCTCAAGGACAGAGGCCTGCAGCTCAAGGACAAAAGCTTGCAACTGTTCAAGGACAGAAGCTTGTAACTGCTCAAGGACAGACGTTTGTAACTGCTCAAGGACAGAAGTTCGTAACTGTTCAAGGACAGAAGCTTGTAGCTCAAGGACAGAAGCGTCTGGCAGTGCTGGAAGATGTTACCAATAAGGTACAGTTCCTATTTTGTTACATGGCGAAGTAGTATTGTTATTTTATTTGTACCTGGAACCATTGTATTTTTAATGTGATTGTTTTACTCAGGTGTCAAACCATTCATCTGAGAAGCCTATTACAGTACAACCAAAAATTGAGTTTTTATCTAAAGTAGTTTCAAGTAGAAGAATTTTCAGTAAGGGAAGGTGGGGACCCATGTATCACGGGGTCCCATGAATCACGGCGTATTAAATTTCAGTTTCGCCCGCGAGGCGAGTCGCGTGGTGCGGAATCGAAACACCATCTAGAGAGCTTCATTTTATGGAAGGATGTGACTTTGCATCTCCAACAAACGTGGCGGCGTGACTAAGTGAAAATTTTGGTCCCCAAAACTTAGGGAAAGTAAAAAAGAAATTTCTTCAAATATCTTTCATTAGCTTCCTGCTATGGAACATTGTCGCAATTTTTTGATGTAGGAGTGTGCGGAAGGGCTTTGACAACAATTAGCAGTGCCGAACAGCAACATCCGAGCATAGGTTCTGGCAATACACCGCAATGTCCAATGCTCCGACAAGTGGGGACCGATGTATCACATTTTTTGGGGTCCCATGTATCACTCAAATTTCAGGTTGGGAGGCAATTAATCACGGAAATTTTCCTGTTTTAATGCCTGTGCTGTAATCATTGCAATTTTATAATAGAGTGACAGGCGACAGGTGTTACAGTTTAGTTACATTTTGCCATTAAACAAATACCAAGAATAGAGTGATAGATGGGTCCCCACCTGTGATACATGGGTCCCCACTTGTGATACATGAATCTTCACCTTCTCTCTTTGACCTCAACTTACCTTAGGAATGGTCAAACTCGGTCAAACTTATAAACATATTGTAGAAATTAATGCTGCAAGGAAATGTTGCATAATTTGTCCTTTTTTAAAAGTTATTTTTGAAGAAAATAGCTGTGATACACGGGTCCCCATGGGTGATACATGGGACCCCAGGTATGGGGTCCCATGTATCAAATACATGAATTTAGTAGATTGCGCTCCTATCCAAAACCAGATGAGATACATGAACAAATTCAGTTGGCCCTTGTAGAAGGAAGAGTAACTCATGCTTCTGACCCAAAACATTTGATTTATGCCCAAAACCAAAATTTTGGCACTCAAAACAAAAAAAAAGTGATACATGGGTCCCCACCTTCCCTTAAGGATTATGGTGACCCAACTGGGGAGGGCATGGTGACATCTTTAAAGGCGGCTGTACAGAAATACAATGAAGAGTGTGGATCTCTATGTGCTTCAGTGCAAGTGATAGAAGATACAGACATAGTTGTCGCTCTGTGCACTCCACTTATGAAGCGAGTGCACCAGCTAAGGTCAAGTGGTGAAATGGCTTTCTTGGACTCTGGTGGGTGTATGGACCGCCAGAATAATAGAGTGTTCACACTCTTAGCTCCCAGTGCTGCTGGTGCCTTGCCAGAGGGCCTTATAATAACCAGTTCTGAGTCAGAAGATGTCATCCATGAAGGATTGAAGATGCTCATGGATATAGTTACCTCAGATGCCTTTGGGGGTCGTGGCTCTCAGGGTCCTCAAATAATAATGACAGATGACTCAACCAGCGAAAGAAATGCACTGAAGCGTATGTTCCCAGGAATAATAGCTCTACTTTGCTTGTTCCATGTGCTGCAAGCTATGTGGCGGTACATTTGGGATAGCAAACACAAAGCTGACTCCAGTGACAAACTTGAAATTTACATTTTATTCAGAGATGTGTGCTATGAACAGAATGAAGATGATTTTAAAGAAAAATATGAAAGTATGCTTGCTTTCCCCAAAGTGAAGGCAAATTCTGGACTCGTGAAACATTTCAAGGACCTATATGAGCGAGCCCCTGAATGGGCCCTTGCCTACAGAGTTGACCTGCTCACTAGGGGTAACAACACCAACAATTACTCCGAGGCAACAGTTAGACTGATGAAAGACCTTGTGTTCCAGCGCTTAAAAGCCTACAGTGAGGTTCAAATGTTTGACTTCTTTACTACCAGACTTGAAGCCTTCTTTGAAAGAAGACTTGCAAATGTATTGAATGGTCGTCAAGAGAATTACTGGAAGTCAAAGCATTTCATCCATCCATCAAAACTGGCCCCACTTCGATGTGAGAAGTCTCCTCAAGAAGGATTTTATTTGGTGAAAAATGTGGAGCGCAAAACTGAGTATGTTGTAGACATGAAACATGAAGTGTGCTCATGTCATGTGGGCCGAAACGGTGCTCCATGCAAACATCAAATGGCGGTTGTCCAGAGCTTTAATATTATGTCTACCCAACTCCTTCCTATTGACCTTGAGTCCAAACTAGCTCTGCATAAAATAATGACCACTGTCTCTGCGCCACCTGAATGGTATGCTCCTCTAAAGGGAGGGCCCTATGTTCCAAATAATGCAGGAACAGTCGCAGGTAATAAATTTTCTCCATTTATTTACTCAGCTTTCTAATTTGTTTTACATCTAAGTTCGGAAATTTTTTGACAGCAGATATTTCTTTGGATAACCAAGACACCACCCTAGACGGTGCTGGCGCCTCTGAGGAGCTGGATTTTGCAGCTGGATCAACTACAGGTATTTATGAACTTTAATTCTGAAACTGTTGCATTTTATGTGTAGTCTCACAACTTATTGTCTTTTTATTTCAAATTTTCAGAAAGTGGCACCATCTTTGACCAGGCTAAACTCTCTGCAGCATTGGAAAAGTGGGAAGATATCAATACCTACATGATAAACTCGCTGAAGTCAAGGCCTGATGTATTTGTTGATGCTGTAGACAAATTTAGTGTCAAGTTCCAGAGGGCTAAAGATTCCTCAGAAAACCAGTTGCTGTCTGCATTCCATACATTCAATAGGCAGGCTGCTGGTCATCGTTCAGTTGTGCGCAAGTACATCTATTCAAACAGCAGCAGCATCCAGAAGAGAAAACAGCCCTCCCTTGGTGGCAGGAAGTGCACCCATCAGGGAAGACCACCAAAGTCTGCATACACCACTGAACATGGTTATCCTAAATCCAAAGCCAAAAAAACAGCAGGGAACATTGCCCCAACAAAGAGAAGTGCCATCCCTCACAGTCTGGCTCTCAAAGTTTCAGAGCAATCTCAACCAAAGAAACCAAGATTGAAATTGTGAATTCTCTTTCTGTCCTTCAAAAACATTCATTTCCCCAATATCTTGTTTGTGTATTGCATAATGATGATGAAATGATGTGGGTGTTTCCTGACAATGTGTATCCAAAGCCTTGTCATCCAAAGCATAATGTTTAAGATATTGCTAGTCTGTGATTCTGCTGAGTTTACCCAAAGATAGGAAATAAATGAGATTATACAGTATAGTTCGTAACGCAAATTTTATTTACCAGAATTCTTAGAAAGACAGAGCTTCTTGCGAGGTTTGAAAATTTCAAGACCAAGAACGTCACAAGAAGTAGAGAACAATTGTGATATTGTATTTGGATCTAACTGCAACCAGTAGCTGCAGAAATGCCTTATGTGTGATACAATTTTGGGATAGCATAAGTATTCACTCCTAAAATGCTTTTCTTCAGGTCTTTCTACTATCTACAAATGCCTTTGATTTTATATGTTACCGCTGCACCAAACACTGTGTACTAAGATGTTTGCCAAAAAAATAGTATAATTGTTTAATGCTTTTGAGTTAATGTTTAAGATTTCAAATATATGTGCTAAAGCATTTGTATAATTTTCTGTGCTTGAGTTCTTAAAGTTTGTTACTTTAATTCTGTCGTTGCCATAGCTTAAAGTTGAAGAAGAGCGCAAGTTATTCTGGTAGACCTTATATTTATTAAAACAATGATGGAATAGTCAAGAATAAAATAATTAAAAGATGTTTTCCCAGTATGACTAGGGGTACGCGCCGTTTAGTGTGGGCGCGTAGTGTGGCTGAGCGATGCGAATTAGTGCACTTCGGACTTTGCTTAAGTAGACGAAATGTGCAGCTTGTGGGCTCATATTGAGTGAAATGTAGGTCTGGGGTATAAATGGAAGTGATTTTTGTTATCAGCACACAAAAAACTGTTGGAATCAACATCAAACTCGATTCCAAAATTTTGGTCCAAAATCGTTCAAAATTCGGTAATGCGTGAGTCTGGGAAAAAATTGGAAGTCATTTTTGAGTTCAGCGCACCAAAAACTGCAGGAAACAATATAAATCTCGATTTGAAAATTTTGGTCCAAAATGACCTAATTTGGGATGAAAATATAATTCTGGAGTCGAAATGGAGGTGATTTTCGTTATCAGCACACAAAAAACTGTTAGGATCAACAGCAATCTCGATTCCAAAATTTTGGTCCAAATTTGGCCAAAATTTGGCAAAGCGTGAGTCTGGAAAAAATTTGGAAGTCATTTTTCAGTTCAGCTCATCAAACACTGCAGGAAACAATATAAAACTTCACCTGAAAATTTTGGTCCGAAATGACCCAATTTGAGATGAAAATATAAGTCTGGAGTAGAAATGGAAGTGGTTTTCATAATCAGCACTCCAAAAACTCCAAGAATCAATATGAGATTCAATTCAAAAATATTAATATATTGATCAATAATGGGTAAAGAATGGGTCTGGGTTAGTCTTCATAGATCACCCTTTGTCGTCACCAATACCCTGATGCCACACCAATGCGATTCCTTCAGTCGAGTAACATTCCATTGCCAGCATTGAATCGCTCAATTAGCTACTCATCTGCTTGACTCACTATTCGATACATCTTTTTCTTCAAACTAATGAATTCACAAATTTATTAGTTATATTTATGAAGCCTTTTGTCATTCTTTCATTTAAAACCGGTGAATTAAACAATAGACTAGAATATGTCATCGTAGTTTATATTAAGGGGGCAGTAGCGTCATTTTCACGTGTTTTGACGATTTTCGAACCTCCTGTTTAGACGTTAATATAAAGATAAGTATGAATGCGAGAGACAAACGGCAGGCACCATTTGAAAGATAAAAGTTTTTACAACATTTTCAAAAAAAAAAATATTTTGTTTTAGCATTGAATTAGGATGTTTTGTGTTCTATGCAAAAATGGTCTGCAAAATTACATGGTGTCACTGCGCGCACGATTGCAGCCAAAGTTTTTAACTTTTTACCAATCGGTAAAATGCATCTGAAAAAGCATGAAATTGCCCATAAAATGACCCTTGGGTTTCAATATTGGGCAAGAAAAACTATTGAAACGCTCATCTTCAACTTAAGATGGAAACGAACCACATTTTTTCTGGCCCAATTTTAAAAACCCCAAAGGGTCATTTTATGGGCAATTTCATGCTTTTTCAGATGCATTTTACCGATTGGTAAAAAGTTAAAAACTTTGGCTGCAATCGTGCGCGCAGTGAAACCATGTAATTTTGCAGACCATTTTTGCATATAACACAAAACATCCTAATTCAATGCTAAAACAAAATATTTTTTTTTGAAAATGTTGTAAAAACTTTTATCTTTCAAATGGTGCCTGCCGTTTGCCTCTGGCATTCATACTTATCTTTATATTAACGTCTAAACAGGAGGTTCGAAAATCGTCAAAACACGTGCAAAAGATGCTACTGCCCCCTTAAGTGCCTCAGTTTAGGGCAGGCTGATCTGAAGCATTCGACGGAGACCAAATTTTGTCAAATTCAGTGAATCGTCTCATGAAGTCCAAAGCAGAGGCCACTTGTTGCTCCATACGCCAACATAATTTACCTTATTCATGCCTCGTGATATTTTATCTTTGGAGTAAAAGAATACAGTATAGTATTCACATTGGGCTTCCATTCAGAGAGCCAGCTTTTAAACCATTTACCAATACTTAGTTCCAGTTGTCGGACACAAACTTTGGTGAAGTGAAAGGAATCGTGTCATTAAATCCAATTACCAAGTCACCCACCGCTCAAAATCTGAATCGTCTCATCGGTCTCATTGAACACAACATCAATTCAAAATCTGTTAGCACTAAATATATGGATTATTCATTGCACTAAATACATCTCTATATGGATTCTTTTAATCAATAGATGTTAGTACTAGAATATTTATGTTAGCTTGCAGCATTGCAATAGAATGTCATTTCCCGAGACAAACCAAGACAATTAACATGTCTTCTAATTTCAACAGAAGTTATTCATGCATTTACCTGATTTGATTTACTATGAATTTTAAAAATAAGGATAGTATCAGAGAGAATTAAATCAGTAAATGCACACAAAGGCAAAGAAAATTCTGTTTACAATCCACAACTACACTCACAGTGCACTGACCTGAAGGAAGATTCCCCTGTGACGGGGGAGGGGGGAGAGGGGAACGAAACACGCAAACCATTCTCACTTTCAGTTTTCATATTTTCCTCTGTTGACATTCCGGAAGGGTTTCAATCATTCTAGAATATTAAACAAGCTAGGGCCCGCCCTTCCGTCGAACCGAGTTGCTAGCTCCGCTTCGCTGCGCCGGCAACTCGGTTCGACAGGGGGCCGGCCCAGCTTGGCCTGCCGGCGGCCCTTTCTCGGGCCTTCGGCCCTCGCATCAGACCCAACTTGGCCAGTCGAAGGCCCGGGCCTTCGGCCCGCTCGCATAACACACACCGTGAGCGGGTAAAGCAAAGTTATCGATGTACCATCGTGACTTAGGCCCGCCCTTCTATTCACAATATGCAATAGTCCTTACACTTTTTACTCCAACTGTCCTTAGAATATGCCCATTTCATTTGTCTCTTCGCCCTCATTCCGAAAATACCCATATTTGCCATGCTACTGCAACTCCTTGCAATAGAGGCACAGCAGGAGCGCAAAACGAGTCCGTCGCACTTTTTCCCATAACTCATGAAGGCGGGCTCCTGGATCCCCCTTCCGACCCCTCGTTGAAGAGGTCTTGCCATGACCTATCGAAAACTTAAGTAAAAATTTTCAGTCGGTCGACCCCCTTTTTTGAAGATCCTGATGTGACTAATAGACGAAGTCGGGCTCCTGGACCCCCTTTCCGACCCCTCGTTGAAAAGGTCTTGCTGAGACCAATCGAAGTCTGCAATAAATTTTTTTAGTCGGTCGACCCCCTTTTTTGAAGATTCTGATCTGGCCAACTTGTAAAAGCGGCCGATGGGGTCGGGACCAGGTCCATTCATCTTGTCTCGTCGCCCCGATTCCAAAAATACCCCTATGTGCCCTGCTAGCACTAATAATGGCGGAAATCCCCCTCCCGCTCATGTAAACCATGATGCACCTGCAGCAGCCCTTGTGCGACCCGGACGGGATTTGCACCACCGGATTATTTGTTTGGACGGTACTCCTGAAGTACCCTTCAAATCTGGTTACTCTAGCTCAACTCCTTCCTTGTACACAGACGCCAACAACGACAACAACAACAACAACAACAACAACAACAACAACAACACACAGACACAAAGGCAAATGCATAGGCCCTCCCCCTATTTTTTGAATAGAAGGGCGGGCCAAAAAGTAACTCAGAACCTATTTCAGAGCCCCTTTGCTCATCAGTTTGTTTATTTGCAAAAGTGCCGTCCCGTCTTGCAGACGGCTTGCAAGCGCGGCAGCCGGTATGAGAAATTGGTCAGCTACACACTGCTACCAACCTAACCACGCTAATTACCTAGTTCAAAACTATGTTTTGAATATTTCAAACGATGATAATTGTTAATCTGAGATAAACTCCCCCTGTAGGATGTTTAGGAGACATCAGGTGTGAAATTTGGATACTATTCGTGCAGTAGTTGCTGAGAAACGTGAGTGATTACATACAGAGGGACAGACGCACGACCAAATCACTTTTTGGAGCGCCCAAACACGGCAAGGGCTTCGCTATCGCTCAGCCAACAAACTGATTCATTTCCTTAATCCTCATTAGACTCTTCATCATCAATGTACCGACGTTGAGACTGAATTTTAAACAAAAAACGGATTATTAACACTTCCAATCACAACAAGATTAGTTTCATTGAGATATAATATAGACCTTCTTAAATGTAGGACCTGATGCATGCATTCCTGCTGCTGATTGAGATAACGCTTTCTTGCGCGTTTCAGGCTTCAGCAATTTATTCTCCTATATGAAAAGAAAAATTTAATGACTTGAAAGAGCTGGTAGAGAAGTAATGTAAAAATTGAATGTGAAAAAAATACACTCACCTGTTGTGATGCTGTGGTAGATCCAGCTGTGCAAGTCACTTTTGAAAGAGATAATTTTTTTCTTTTAATGTTGCTTGAAATATCAGTACCATGGGGCTTCTTCAGCACGGTATTTTCCTTTGGATGCATTTTTAAAAAAAGGTCAGGACAGACATTGAAAACACAAGATTGCAGATATTAAATTAATACTCACATCACTCAAAATATTGTTTTGCCTTTTCAGAGACTTCAAATCAGCTTGGGCCTGCAAAAGTTTTTGTTCTAGCTCTTTATTAGCCTAAAGAGGAAGAAAATACAAATAGTCACATATCAGGACGAAATGTATAGTTTAGGCCTTGAATATCTTACATAAGCAACACAAAAGCCGCTGCGGGACAGAGACTGAGATAATGAAAGATTGCAGATAAATGACTACTCACATCAGTCAGAAGGTTGCGTTGTCCTTCCATGGACTTAAGAGCAGCTTCAGCCTCAATGAGTCTTTGTTCTCGCTCTTTATTAGCCTAAAGAGGAAGAAAATAAAAATAATGTCACATACCAGGACGAGATGTGGAGTAAAGGTATTGAACATCTTACTAGTTGGCTACAATTGTACAAAGTCAAAAGTCGCTGGGAGAGACTGAGAGAACAATGAAAGATTGCAGATAAATACTCACATCAGTTAAAAGGTTGTATTGTCCTTGCAGGGACTTTAGAGCAGCTTCAGCCTCCTTAAGTTTTTGCTCTAGATCCTTATTTACCTAGAAGGCGAGAAAGAGAGGTGAATCAATCGTCATATGATTAGATAAGAAAATGTGAAGGCATATTTTTGAAAGTCTTACATTTGTCAAGTGGCTACATTGTCGTGCTTCTAGATAAGCTTGCTGCCGCTTCTGCTCCTTGGTTTGCTCATGTTCCTGATTGCTTTTTTCCTGAAAGAGTAAAGAGCGTAAAAGTGAATTGCACTGCTGATAAAGACACAAGCGGCAACAGATGAAATTTTCTGTGCAGTTGAGGTTTACATGAATATATTTATAAATACATGTATATCAAGAGCTATTATTTTTTAATACGCATATTAAACACAAACAATAAAAATACTTACATATATTTTGGCTTCCAGAAGGGAAATTTGACCAAGGAGCTGATTCTCCAGAGAACGAAATCGGATACATAGTGAGCAATTGTAATTTGCTAGTTTGCGAACAGCAGTAACTAAAGTAAAAACAAAATTGGATTTTGAAATACGCTTTTATACATTATACGATAGTCAAATAATGACCATGGCTCTACCTTGGTTATTCTTAAGCCCTACACACCGAAAATGGTACCACTCATTGCAAGCATCGCAATGAACCATAGGGTGCCTGAGAGGAGAAAAATGTTAGTTATGAAAGAATTTTAGGTGAAATGCATGAATGTAGAAAGGGGCTAAAACGTACTCATCAGCTGGCTGCCGGCAAAAGCAATAAACCATTTTGGCTAAAAAAGACTACACGGCGGCCTAAAGAACAGGTTACATTCGTCTGATTCGCGCCCAAAGTGCAGGAGGGAAAAAGGAGCCAAATTTGCCATCTCGGCGGGAGCTAGCCTGGCTACAGGGGCCATATCGGCCGGTCGCCCACAGGTCTGGCACGAGATCAAATATAGCTTCCAGCGAGGTAAACAGGGAGTTCGTAGAGGCAGTGCGCCTAATGACTGAATTCAGCCACGCAGTCTGGGACCTGTACGACAAGGCCGAAGGATAAGCTGGATAGTGCGATCGTGTGCTAGCTAAAGTCTTTCTCAACTTGGTGAGCTTAATTTATTGCGTTTCGTCCACAGGCTGATCAACCTTCAGGGCGATGATGATGATGACGGTGACGATGACGATGGTGGTGAGGACCATGGCGGCCGGACCACCACCACCGACAAAACACCACCACCCAGTAACACCAGCACCACCATCACCACCACCACGACGCAAACTATGTATTTGAAAGGTATGTACATTGCTTCCCGTGTCGCAGTAATAACGGCTTCTTCACACTAAAGGCAATCTGTGGTCAAGCGTAGTAAAGCTTGAGCTATTACTCGCTGAACGTGTGAGGCTCAGTGACCAGTTTGGTCAGACGCGTAGGTTTGGAAGCCGTGTTGAGGCTCTGCTCCTGGCCATGTCCGATTGTCCTCTCGCGGCCGGCATTGATGACGTTATACTACGTTTACACGGGGGAGCTAGCCTCGGTCAACTCGAGGGGTGGGGGAGTGGAGGGGAGACACCACTCAGCCAGGGCTAGCAGACGTGTTCACGCGGTGCCGGTGGAGCGTTGTTGGGGTGACTTTCTAACCTCAAGATAGCCTAAACAATTTCGAATTTAAGTCGAAATCAGGTCAAAATTTGCTTTACGCAATAGACAATGGATATTTTTACGGCGCCATCTATTGAGACAATAATGAGTTAAATTCTTTTGTTCACCACCTTGAACGAGACAAGGGACTTCCCGCCAAATGCGGAAACCAATCACGATGCTTGAATGTCAAATGATTTTAAAACCTTTTTGGTGGGCAAAAGAGAATTTATGATTTGCAGATGTCCACTTCACTTGATTTCAAAACGCACAAACCCATCTCTCTGTTTCTGGTGAACCACATATTGTAAAGAACGAGTCCTCCATTAATATCAAATACTTTTGATATTCCACAGTTTTTTTTTTACTTATATTCCTTGGCTTCTTGTTCAAATTTTTATTGGTGTTTGGTTTATACTGAGGTATCCATTTTCGTTTTCAGGGGGACAGTCAATACTTGAAGGATCATTGGTGTCAATTTGATGCAAGCATGGTTTTCTTCTTGTGGATGTCAGTCATCCTGCACACTTTTGAAATGCTTGGCATTGTACCCCGTTTTAGTTATCTTTCTATTTTGAGAGCACCTAGACCACTTATAATGATACGCTTCATACGTGTCTTCCTCAAGTTTTCAATGCCAAAGTCTAGGATAAATCAAATTTTCAAGTAAGTGATCTAAGGTTTTCATTTTTTCTGAGATTTTGAAATTAATTTGTCTACTCACACTCTGTATCATGCTTTTTATTTTACAGACGATCCAGCCAGCAAATTTACAATGTAACACTGTTTTCTTATTCTTCATGTCGCTTTATGGCTTACTAGGAGTACAGTTCTTTGGAGAATTGAAAAACCACTGTGTATTGAATGAAACAGAACCAAGGTATTATAAATTTACATCTATGATGTTAATCTCACATTTCTTCTACCGACCTTTCTTTCACAAATGCTTTATTTCTCCTTCCTCTAGGCACATCACAATAAACAGTTTGGCCATACCTGACACATTCTGTTCGACTGACCCTGATTCAGGGTATCAATGTCCCACTGGAATTAAATGCATGAAACTGGAGCTTTCACGTTACACCATGGGGTTCAATGGGTTTGATGAATTTGGTATGTCTCGGTCTATTTGCCTCCAAAAATATTGTTTCTTATAGTCTTGACATTGAACTAATATTGATCTACCTTCCGGTCTTCTGGCCCACTGTGCAACGCTCAGCGAGTTGCCCTCCATGTTGGAGAGCACGGCCATATGTATGGGGGTGGGGGAGTCTATTTCACTAACCCGAATTATTACTTGCCCGAATTGTCACTAACCCGAATCTTCACTAGGCCGAATTATCACTAACCCGAAAACACGACCATTTAGTCCAAAACGAAATTTGTTTCACTGACCCGAATTGTCACTAGCCCGAATTATCACTAGCCCGAAAACATGCGTGCAGGAGCGTTGTTTCACTGGCCCGAATTTTCACTAACCCGAATTGTCACTAGCCCGAAAGCGGAGCTTTTCCATTCCCTGTCTCACTAACCCGAATTGTCACTAACCCGAAATGTGGAGGGGGTGGCCACAGCTAGTGTCTTTAAGAGTGTCTGAAACTAAACTGTCCAACCTATACTAACCTAACCTAACGGGCTCGCGACAGATCTTTCTCTAACTAAGACAGATCTTACTCTAACTAAGACAGATCTTTCTCTAACTAAGACAGATCTTTCTCTAACTTAGACAGATCTTACTCTAACCGCGACAGATCTTACTCTAACTGCGACAGATCTTGCTCTAAGACAGATCTTACTCTAACTAAGACAGATCTTACTCTAACTAGGGCAGATCTTACTCTAATCGCGACAGTTCTTACTCGAACCGCGACAGACCAGCCCTATTCGCGGCAGATCTAACCCAGCAGAAGCGGATACTTCCCCCACCCCAGTGCCGAGTTTCGGGCTAGTGACAATTCGGGTTAGTGAAACACTTATTCCACAGACGTGGCCTTCGGGTTAGTGACAATTCGGCCTAGTGATAATTCGGGCTAGTGAGACACAACCATAATATTGCAAAAGGACGGAACTGCTTCAGGAAATTCGGGCTAGTGATAATTCGGGTTAGTGACAATTCGGGTTAGTGAAACTGCCTTGTGGGATGTTCGGGCTAGTGATAATTCGGGCTAGTGAAGATTCGGGTTAGTGACAATTCGGGCAAGTGATAATTCGGGTTAGTGAAGAACTCCCGGGTGGGGGTAGCACCGCACCGTCCCAGCCAGTCACCGAGGGCCTCCATGAGGTCCTGCGGCGCGTGCAGGTAGAGCTTGCCGACGTGCTACGTGTCGCCCCCGCCCCGCTTTCGAGGGCAACTGGCGGTAAGTGGTCGCCAACGATGCCACACCAGCAGCCCGTGGCGGCCGTGCTTTTTTTTTTTTTTGTTTTATTTTGGAAATTCGGTGTTTGTCATTTTACCAAAGGTGACTAGGTATTTTTCATTTGAGGTGCATTATTTGTATTACTAGAAATCCTGACCGCAAGGAGGAGATTAATATTTTTCGAGTAGTGCTTAGCAACTTCAGCAAAAGGTCATGTTCTCTGCGCGGCCACGCCCCAGGCGCCCTGCTCCGCGAGGGCGAGAAAGACAGGGCGACACAAAGAACTCTCATAATCAGTCTGCTTCTGCCAGTCAGGGCACTCGCGAGGCCGCCAGGGGAAACTTGAACGCAGGGCCACGCTGCTGCCGCTTGCCAGGGGGCCGCGAGTCCGCCAGATCGCCGCACTCGGCGCGCCGGATTGCGTCGACGTGTAGGGCGGCACCATGACCACCACAGGGACATGGACGCACCTCGCGCAGGGCGTCGCGAGGCCGCGACGCGGCCTCCGGCGCGTCTAGAGGGCGGCCGCCGGTGGTGACGGGGCGAAGGGCCACCGCCACCACGGCCTGCACGGCCCACACTGGGCCACAAGACCGGCGCAGAGGGGAAAGGGAGGAAGGGGTTGATTCGCGCCAGGACCGGCAGCCAGGGTGGTGGCGGCCGCAACGTTTGGTTCGGGTCCTGCTTAGCGACTCTGGAGCCAAGAACGCGTCCAGAGTTTTGGCCACCTCCGCCGGTCTTCTGGCCCAGTGTGCTGGGCGCGACGACTGGCCCGTACTAGCCGCCACTACCACCACGGCGGCAACGAATTCGGCCGCGGTCGGAACTGCAGGCCCTGCGTTACCTGGCCTCGAACTTGGGCACCGTCATCGCCGTGCCCAGAACAGACCCCTCGGAAAGCCTCGCCGTCGGCTGCCGTCGGCACGTCCCGGCCGGGGTCCCCGGACCTTACGGTGGAGTAGGCCCTGCAGCGGCGCGGCGGCACGGCGGCACGGGACGCCGGAGCCTTATCGTGGAAGCTGGAGAACCAGGCCGGCAACGACTTCGAAGGACCAGGACGCTGCTTCCCGCGAACCTTCCTCGACTACACGAAGGCACGCGAGTTCCTGACGGCGGCGCTGTGGTGCGCGTTCGTTTACCCGCGGTGACACTCACAGTCAGGCCGTGTCCTCGACGGTGAGCAGGTGGCGACGGCCTGGTAGTGCTGACCCGGACGAGACGCACTTCGACGGGCGGGCGCACGGTGATGCAAAACCGAAAAAAGTCGCGCAAAATTATAGAGTGCCCTGATCACTGACAATTTTCAGGCTGTGGGGTTTTGAGGGTCGCTGACCTCATTCCTGAAGAAATTCAACGTATGCGACCACCACAGGGGCAGATCTAGGACTGTTTAGGGGGGTAACACTGTAACGCTGCGCTTGATCACTGCCAAATTTTGTGCAAAGATGTTTTAAGGGTCGCTGACATTATTTCTGAAAGGATGGAACGTGTGTGACCACCACAGGGGCGGAGCTATAGTAGTTTAGGGGTAACATTGTTACGCTGTGCTTTATCACTACCAAATTTTGTGAAAAGAAGTTTTTAGGGTTGCTGACTTCTTGGGGAATGGAAGTTGACCAGTCATTTGTGACAATGCCGCGACGTTTGAGTCATTTTTTTCGAAAAGCGCAACTTTTCGCAACCTGACACTATATAGACCTTAAAGTTGGCCCCAGGTACTACCATGTGGCTGTGACTGACTGGTTCGCAAGTGTTCGCAACTTGACTTATTCCACTTCGAAATCAACAAAAATGACAAATTTGGCTATTATTTTACAGCGAATATGTAGTGACCGAGAGCTTTGCCGTTAATTGTAGCAATTGTAGCGAATGTCTTGAACTCTCAGCTTTCCAAAAACACACAACATGTTACACTTTGTTCTGCAGATGCCGCCACAACGAACAGTTTTCGCACCGCATGTCGCTCTATTTGGTTTTTGCATCAAATTGCTCTCTTTCAGCGCCATAAAAAGATAGGCCTACCCATATTGTGGCACAAAAGAGTTCCGTCACCATGTAGTTCGATCTTTTCTGCGCTCAAAAACGTCAGTCCCTTAAGGGATGGACCAAATCAACGAAAAGTGCTTTTTGCGCGACTTTTTGGCCCGTCCCGTTTATTTTTTGTAAAAAAATGACGGAGGGACGGGCATATAGTATGATCCTTGCTGTGCGTCCGTTCGTTCGTCCGTCCGTCCGTCCGAGGACTTCCCGCGGTCCGATCTTGACCAAATTTGGTATGCAGCGACCTTGGGTGACCCTAAGAACCGCCCGGTGGCAGCAAATCCGATCCGAGCCCCGGGGGCGCTGCTGCAGGTGCATCATGGTCTACATGGGGTCGAGGAGGATTTCGGTAACGGATACGGCTAGCATGGCATGTAAGGGTACTTTTGGAATCAGGGTGACAAGACAAAACCAATGGTGCCAATTTCAAGCGAATCGAAGAAGTTTGGACCCGGGTTCAAATCCCAGGGGGGTATATTTTGAACATTCTTTTTATTCGAGTTTTTCCATTGATTCATATGTTTTTAGGGCGCTGATGACGGAAATAACATCCATTTTGACTCCAGACTCAGGTTCAAACCCATCAGGGCTAAATAAAGGCGAAATTCACACATTTGTTTATGTACGGGACGGGCCAAAGTTGCCGATGTATATCGCTACTTTTCCTGTTATTACCGTTTTGCATCACTGTGGGGCGGCGCGCTTCCTCGGTCCTGCGGGCGGAGGGGCTTGTCGATCCCGGGTGCGCCTCTCGGAGCCCTGGGGTGGAAGACGGCCAGGACACCTTCTCTGGGCCTTGCATGCACGTTTAGACAGAGCGATAAGGACACTTTACAGAAAAGCCGACGTCGGGGCGCGAAAACATAAACAAGGCGAACGAAATTCGAAACGCCGTCGTCAGTAGCTGCGTGGGGCGTGGCGTGGCGGGAGGGGGCGGAAAGTTGCCCCCTTCCCCTCCCCCTCCCCCTCGCCGCCTCTTGCTGGCTGCCGCGCTGCTCCCCGGCAGTCATTGCAGCAGCAGCCGCGAGGAGGTATGACGATGCTCTAAATTTCCAATTTTTCGACAAGACATACTTTGCCATGAGGGTAACAGGGCGACGGGCCATTGTGCATTAGTGTTTCAGAGCAGTAACAACCTAGGGCCCGCCCTTCCGTCGAACCGAGTTGCCAGCTCCGCTTCGCTGCGCCGGCAACTCGGTTCGACAGGGGGCCGGCCCAGCTCTGCCGGCGGCCTTTTCTCGGGCCTTCGGCCCTCGCATCAGACCCAACTTGGCCAGTCGAAGGCCCGGGCCTTTGGCCCGCTCGCATCACACACACCGTGAGCGGGTAAAGCAAGGTTATCGATGTACCATCGTGACTTAGGCCCGCCCTTCTATTCACAATATGCAATAGTCCTTACACTTTTTACTCCAACTGTCCGTAGAATATGCCCATTTCATTTGTCTCTTCGCCCTCATTCCGAAAATACCCATATTTGCCATGCTACTGCAACTCCTTGCAATAGAGGCACAGCAGGAGCGCAAAACGAGTCCGTCGCACTTTTTCCCATAACTCATGAAGGCGGGCTCCTGGACCCCCCTTCCGACCCCTCGTTGAACTGGTCTTGCCAAGACCTATCGAAAACTTAAGTAAAAATTTTCAGTCGGTCGACCCCCTTTTTTGAAGATCCTGATGTGACTAATAGACGAAGTCGGGCTCCTGGACCCCCTTTCCGACCCCTCGTTGAAAAGGTCTTGCTGAGACCAACCGAAATCTGCAATAAATTTTTTTAGTCGGTCGACCCCCTTTTTAGAAGATCCTGATCTGGCCAACTTGTAAAAGCGGCCGATGGGGTCGGGACCAGGTCCATTCATCTTGTCTCGTCGCCCCGATTCCAAAAATACCCCTATGTGCCCTGCTAGCACCAATAATGGCGGAAATCCCCCTCCCGCTCATGTAAACCATGATGCACCTGCAGCAGCCCTTGTGCGACCCGGACGGGATTTGCACCACCGGATTATTTGTTTGGACGGTACTCCTGAAGTACCCTCCAAATCTGGTTACTCTAGCTCAACTCCTTCCTTGTACACAGACGCCAACAACAACAACAACAACAACACAGACACAAAGGCAAATGCATAGGCCCTCCCCCTATTTTTTGAATAGAAGGGCGGGCCAAAAAGTCGCAGAACGCCAAATATGGAGAAGAAGGCAGGGGAGGGGGCTGAGACCCAGGCCCAGGGGCAGGGCACTCGCCAACAAACACCTAGTAAGTGGCTATTACTTCCCAAACTACAATAAACTACAACTACAACCTCAATCATTGCGAAATGTCAGGCCCTGCACCTTGCCAAGGGGGGGGGGGGGGGGGGGGGGGGAGGACGTTCCTTTACTCACTGTGACATGATGCAATCCCGATGCGTGAGATTGTCCACAGTGCACATTTCTGTTCATAGGATTACCTGTATTCGAGGCATTGGCAGGGTTGGGAGTGTTAGTGGTGGCGATGAGGCTACCTCCACTGAGGTGAGTAAACGCTGTGGAGGCGTTGAGCGTAATTTAATGCCAGACATTTGTAATTTTTGGGTTCGATGGTTCAAAGTTATTGTGCGAGAATTTTCCCTTTCAGTACATCATTGGTCAATTGTAGGTCGTGAAAATTATCTAATATTTGGAAGTAAAATAGTAACTACAAAATAAGGATGAATCATCAAGCTAAAATTACAAGGTGGTCAACATGCGAAGTATGAGGCTGTATTAAGTTATGAATGTTGAAAACCGTTTCTCTGTACCTTTTAATGACTGATTATTTAGGAACTGACAAGTATCAGATGTAATATAACATGATTCTGTTTAGCAAGTATTCATTTCGGTTGAAGTGTCCATTCAACAGCTTGATATGGCCTTTTGCTGCTCCTCTTTTGCAGGTCAAAGGCAGGGCAGGAGTTAATGCAGCTAAGGAAATGTGTACAGTGGCAGAGTGGGACCTGGGTGTACATTTCTCCTTGACTGTAGCTGGTGGCGGGGTAAGGTTGTGCATGATTCTCTATTGTAGTGGTACATCTGATTTCCAGCAATTATACCCGGAGACCAACGTGGACAGGATGAAGCAAGGTACTGTTTTGCATGTCATCTCTGTATGGGATAGTTTCAACATAAACATTCATTAGATCAGTATAATACAATCATTTCCCAGTCATGAGCTTGTCTTCTCTGAGAAAAGGCCATTCTCCAAAATTTCATGTTTGAGAGAGCCGTTCATTGAATGGAAGTGATATTTAATTTAATAAAGTAATCAATTAGATGACATAATTGTTGAGGTCACATTCCTTAATATGTATATTGAGCTGGGTTGGAGATTTTAGATGGATAATTTGTGACTGTCACATCTTTCCTCAAGGGTAAAATTCAAGGGGATTGACACGACCTGAACCTCATGTCGTCAGAAGTTGATGAAAGTTGGCTCAAATGTTACCCCCATAGGGATAAGTAAGCCCACAAAATTTGAACCCTCTAGCTCAACTAACATGGGCGCAGTGAGCAATCTAATTTTCGCCTGAAATTCATTTTCACCTTTTTCAGCAAATTGCACATTTTTGGAAAAGTCGTCGCGCTGGCCGCCCCGACGGCCTTTCCTCCGCCTGATCGACGTTCCTAGACTCAAAATTGTCTGGGGAATCCGAATCTGGCGTCGGTAGCCGATAGCGTTCCAATAAAAATCCAAAAATGGCACTTTTTTTTACAGAAATTTAGTTATTTTAGGGGTTCACGCGACAGGCCGTATCCACTAGCCCCAAATCCAAACATGCCCATTTCAACTTTTTTTCAGTTAAGGGACACCATAAGCTTAATTTTAAGATGGGCTCCGATATTGTGTATGGGTCTCGTTTAGGAGCTAGCCCTATGCCCAACTTTTGACTTTTTCCCTAAAACTTGTTTTTCTATGAAACCTTTATAAAGGCATGGCCTCCTCAAAAAACGTTCTAGGCGGCAAATAAAGTAGTCTAGCGGACGCAGAATTTCCCGAGGATCACGATGCTGCACCAGCATTTGAGTTTTTGGGCCTCAAACATAGTCAAAACTGCAAAAAACAACAAATGTATGTTAAATGCCACAAAATGTTGAACGCCAATTACGACCTTTTTCCCCGTCGCAAGGCCGCTTTGCCGTTTCCTACTCGGACTCATTAGAGTTTCCACTTTAAGAATAAGCAGGAAAGGGTCAGCAGCCCACACTGGAAACTGCGGATTTCCCCATAAGGGCGAGGCACCACGCCGCCCAGGTGGGCAACCAGTTAGACGCACCCCTCGGCCACAGGCGGTGGAGGTCGCGCGTGCCGCCCGGGTAGGCAACCAGGCATTTGGTCTTTGGACCTTCATTTAGGATGCCATTGTTACGGAGTGCGATTATTCACCTTAGTTTGGGTGCAGTATTGTCTCAAAGTTGATCAAAACCGACTTTAATGGCATTTTTGACCGTTTTGATCAACTTTGAGACAAGACTGCTCCCAACTAAGGCGCACAATCGCACTCCGTAACAAAGGCATGCTAAAGAAAGGTCCAAAGACCAAATGCCCGCTGAGAAAGTACAAAGGCCCGCCTCGGATCAGATGCAGAGGCTGCTTAGTCGGCCCAAAACATGATTTTTCTAAGGCTTTTTTGACCGTTTTGATCAACTTTGAGACAACACTGCTCCCAAACTAAGGCATATAATCGCACTCCGTAACAAAGGCATGCTAAAGGAGGGGTCCCGTGGGGTTGCGAAATTTTTCCTGCTCTTCAAACCGACAAGCGTACATTGTATGCTCTAACTTAAGCATGCCTGCAAGCACGCTCTAGCTAGCGCATGCCTGCCAAGCGTGCACTTTTTAGTGCATACATGCTATGTACACGCTAACTGAAGCATGCATCAAGTGCATAATGTATAGGGAGTTTCCTGCATCAGAAAGCGTGTACATGGCATCTATGCACTAGTAAGTGCATGCTTGGCAGGCATGCAGTAGCTAGAGCGTGCTTGCAGGCACGCTCTAGTTAGATTATACAATGTACGCTCTTCGATTTGTAGAGTGGGGGTCGCGGAAATATTTGGCTACAAATTTGGGGTCGCGAGCCGAAAAAGGTTGAGAACCGCTGTTTTAGAGGCAATGTAGGAAAATGAAAAAAATCGTTCACAAAGGTGTTCAAATGTGTTCCAATTCCTTGGATGAGGCCGGATTCACGTTAAGAGACATCGAAGTCTGTGGAAACGTCACTTGGTGCGACTGTTTATTATAGTTTGCGTGTAGTTTTTAATAAAATGTTCAATTTGAACACATTGAACGTTTCTGGCCAAACGGTCTGAAAAATCTAAAAGACTTCGAACAGAATCGTTTCTTATACCTTTGAGAACGTCTCTGTCAAGTTTCATGCTTCTATCACTGAATGTGCGACTTTTTTGGCTAGCGCGGCCACAGGGCCGGGCCGGGCGGGCCCGCGCTTGCGCCTAGAGCCGCCGCGCGCGCTTCGCACCCACCTATCTCAGGCACCGTTCAAGGTACGAAGTTGGTTTTGTGCTCATTTTTTTACGAAAAGAGGCAGGCTACAGCCGTTAGAAAAGGTCATTTCCCAAAATCCAGCGAGGAAAAAAGTTATGGGCCAATGAACAAAACTTCTAGCTTTTGTAAGTTCTAACTTTCTCGGCCTAAAAGTCAAAAGTATTTCATCTACGCTAAATCTGAAGGCAGTTTTAGATTCCTTGTTATATTTTACGTCGGATAGCGTTCTTCGCGTGTTGAAATCGGTCCACTGGAAATGTAGCTACGTCAAAAACGGACTAACGGCAATTTCCTGGAATTTCCTTGAAAAATAGCCGATTACTGGAATCCTAGGGGACGAATCAAGTGCCTCTCCAGCCAAAATTGTAACTATACGTCCATACTACAATTTTGCAAAAGCTCAATATCTGGTCATGACGTACAGCTTTTTTCCGTTTGGCCCACCGCCTATGCCTAACCGGGCGGCGCGCGCGACCTCCACCGCCTGTGGCCGAGGGGTGCGTCTAACTGGTTGCCCACCTGGGCGGCGTGGTGACTCGCCCTTATGGGGAAATCCGCAGTTTCCAGGGTGGGCTGCTGACCCTTCCTGCTTATTCTTAAAGTGGAAACTCTAAGGAGTCCGAGTAGGCAACGGCAAAGCGGCCTTGCGACGGGGAAAAAGGTCGTAATTTGACGGTCCCTATCGATAGGCTCGTAAGTCCGAGCGGCGGGAACGTAAGCGCGCAAGTCCGTCCGCCCGGGACATACCGTCGTATCTCGCCCGGGTCGCTACGTAGCGTGCTATCGTTGCATCATTCCGTATCTACATAGTACGCTACGTCGCGACCCGGGCGAGATACGACGGTATGTCCCGGGCGGACGGACTTGCGCGCTTACGTTCTCGCCGCCTGGACTTACGCGCCTATCGATAGGGACCGTCGAATTGCCGTTCAACATTTTGTGGCATTTAACATAAATTTGTTGTTTTTTGTAGTTTTGACTGTGTTTGAGGCGGGTAAAATTCAAGGGGATTGACACGACCTGAACCTCATGTCGTCAGAACTTGATGAAAGTTGGCTCAAATGTTACCCCCATAGGGGTAAGTAAGCCCACAAAATTTGAACCCTCTAGCTCAACTAACATGGGCGCAGTGAGCAATCTAATTTTCGCCTGAAATTCATTTTCACTTTTTTCAGGAAAATGCACATTTTTGGAAAAGTCGTCGCGCTGGCCGCCCCGACGGCCTTTCCTCCGCCTGATCGACGTTCCTAGACTCAAAATTGTCTGGGGAATCCGAATCTGGCGTCGGTTTTCCGATAGCGTTCCGATAAAAATCCAAAAGTGGCACTTTTTTACGGAAATTTAGTTATTTTAGGGGTTCACGCGACAGGCCGTATCCACTAGCCCCCAATCCAAACATGCCCGTTTCAACTTTTTTTCAGTTAAGGGACACCATAAGCTTAATTTTAAAATGGGCCCCGATATTGTGTATGGGTCTCGTTTAGGAGCTAGCCCTATGCCCAACTTTTGACTTTTTCCCTAAACCTTGTTTTTCTATGAAACCTTTCAAAAGGCATGGCCTCCTCAAAAAACGTCCTAGGCGGCAAATAAAGTAGTCTAACGGACGCAGAATTTCCCGAGGATCACGATGCTGCACGTGCATTTGAGTTTTGGGGCCTCAAACACAGTCAAAACTACAAAAAACAACAAATTTATGTTAAATGCCACAAAATGTTGAACGGCAATTACGACCCTTTTCCCCGTCGCAAGGCCGCTTTCCCGTTGCCTACTCGGACTCCTTGGAGTTTCCACTTTGAGAATAAGCAGGAAAGGGTCAGCAGCCCACACTGGAAACTGCGGATTTCCCCATAAGGGCGAGGCACCGCGCCGCCCAGGTGGGCAACCAGTTTGACGCACCCCTTGGCCACAGGCAGTGGAGGTCGCGCGCGCCGCCCGGGTAGGCAACGGCATTTGGTCTTTGGACCTTCCTTTAGGATGCTATTGTTACGGAGTGCGATTATTCACCTTAGTTTGGGTGCAGTATTGTCTCAAAGTTGATCAAAACCGACTTTAATGGCATTTTTGACCGTTTTGATCAACTTTGAGACAAGACTGCTCCCAACTAAGGCGCATAATCGCACTCCGTAACAAAGGCATGCTAAAGGAAGGTCTAAAGACCAAATGCCCGTTGAGAAAGTACAAAGGCCCGCCTCGGATCAGACGCAGAGGCTGCTTAAACTCGGCCCAAAACATGATTTTTCTAAGGCTTTTTTGACCGTTTTGAATAACTTTGAGTTAACACTGCTCCCAAACTAAGGCATATAATCGCACTCCGTAACAAAGGCATGCTAAAGGAGAGGTCCCGTGGGGTTGCGAAATTTTTCCTGCTCTTCAAACCGACAAGCGTATGCTCTAACTTAAGCATGCCTGCAAGCACGCTCTAGCTAGCGCATGCCTGCCAAGCGTGCACTTACTAGTGCATACATGCTATGTACACGCTAACTGAAGCATGCATCTAGTGCATAATGGATAGGGAGTTTCCTGCATCAGAAAGCGTGTACATGGCATGTATGCACTAGTAAGTGCATGCTTGGCAGGCATGCGGTCACTCCAAATCCAGTGGCAAGTTTCCTCGCCACTGGAGTGGCGTCTTTTCCAAAGCGCCAAGATTTGGCGTTCGCATCCCTGGTTTCCGGATTCCACGCCAAATTTTGGCGCTCCACAGAGAGCGCCAAAATTTGGCGTTCCATTCCCCAGAGCACCACAGACCAGAACGCCAAAATTTGGCGCTGCAAAAGAAATGGAATAATTTGGCTTGGAAAGCAATACCCGTTCACAGAAAAATAAATGTGCATACAATAGTTTTCTCAGTGCTTAGGATCCCTAGTTCAAATCACAGCAATTATACTATGAAAAGTAGAACTGGACCAGTAAAATACAAGACCTGCATCTGTATTTTCAGGTTACGTGTCAATGCCGCTGACCAACTATTGAATCACTTTGGTTTGGCCAGTGATTCCTGAGACACTGGGAAAATGGTACTCACATCAACACAAAACGCTTTATATCACTGAGTCACTCTCTCTTGATAAGGGGTCGACACAGCAAGGGGTCTCAGTCCATTCTCAAACCAGGAAGACTTGAGCTAGCCTCAGAGCCCTAGCCTGGCCCTGCCGCGCCACGCCGCTCCCTCTTCAAAATCTTCCACAGCAAAACACTTGAATAGTTTTGAAATGGCCCGAGAGCACTCAGACCTTTTGAAAGTACTGCGACACGATAAAACACACTGAAATTCAAAGGGTGAGACATCTCACCAATTTTCGGCGATACAAAATGTATCACCGAAAAAAATGTCGTACACGAATGTATCACCGAAAAAATGGTCGTATACGCATTAGGGTGGGCCGTGAAACACGATTTTTCGATATCGCAACCGTAATAGCGCGCCAAAGTTACTTCATGGCAATACAAACTCAACGTGATCTGGGCCAGGTCTGTAACTTAAAGCTTGACCCTCGCGCATCAACGTTGAAAATCCGAAAATTCGACTTTTACGGGTTTTTCTAAAA